CAATCATATTCTGTCACATTCCGTACTCATTATATGCCCAGATTGTGTTGGTGAAGTTCAGTACATTCATTGGAAATAATAGCTTTTACACTATTCACAGGCCTTACCTATTTACCAGAACTGACCTTTCGCAGACCTCAAAGTCACAGAGTACAGCTCTCAGCACTTTCTGAAATATATACAAACAACAACGCCAAAATGATAATATAGATTCCAGTCTATTTATATAATATTATGAATCGAGATATAATAAAGAATTTCTGAACTGATACCAATAGAAGTTCGTGATTGATTCTGTAATCTCAAACCACCTCACCCGACCATGGCTTTCACGTCTTAGCCAGGTTTCATGTCTAATATATAAAAAAACGGCAACTTACAGTCTTCACAATACAGTGTTGAATAAATGAAATAGTTAAAGATAATTAAATTGCTTTCGAAACGTCGTAAAGCACCTATACAAAAGATGGAGTCCCGCTGTGCTCCGAGTATATCCATAAAAAATCTTTGTTAATAAATTAAAGGTAAATGCATTTCACTGTTCTCAATAATTACTGGCAGGATTGATGACTGTGCGGAACTTTGGAAATACTTTTGTGTGTGTGTGTTGGTGTGATGTATTCATGCAGGTGAATACTGAATATGTTTGTGGTGTTAGATGTTCGTGGTGTTACTGTTATATTGTGAATTATGATTAGCAAGGAAATTAAACTGGTCTCTCATATATTTGCTACCCAATAATACAAGATTGTCACATGCGAAAACCGAAATGAATCAACGTTAAACTATAGCCATTAATCTCATGATAAGCTTAGTCTATTTTTCAAATTTCAAAAAAAAAGTCTTTTTATTAGATCAAAAGATAAAAATACATATCTTATGTTACAAGTAAATATTAAGAATTCATTAGTAAAGTTTACATCATATGAATAGGTTATAGTTAAATAAGGTTATAGTTGGATACTGACTAAACTCTGTCCTTTTTTAACACACCTCTGTCATTTTTAACACAAAAGAATGAGAAAAGCATGAACCACAACTCCACAAGTATTCAGAATCACTTAGGATCGCCTATTAGCTAAGGTAAGAACGAACGTGCTTGAACATGTTTGAACAACTATAAGAACGAACGTATTTGAACAACTTAGGAATCTAGGAAACTTTAATAGAGTTTGACGTCGAAATCGCAGGGCCACTTCCTGCCTATATGCAAGAGATAAAAAAAATTTCAGAAGTTATAATTTTTTACAAACTCGGTTGCAAGTCCATTCAAGGTTGTTATGTTTTGTTCTTTAAATGTTACTTGCCTGTAATAAAGGTTTAATTTCCCGAAACTAATTGTTCTTAAGTGCATGCAAGGTTATGGCCGCCAGATTGGATTCTATGGTGGCTTTTGTTGGAAATGTACATTCTCTACATAAACTACATTCTTTTTGTATGTCATGTTCATATTGAGAACAAATATATAAACACTTACCTGACATGTCGTGTCACAGACAAATTTCTATACACATGTCTTAGCCAATGTTAACTACTTTACCATGACCAAAACTACTTTACGCATTTTTAACCAAAACACTTCATATATTTTGATAATCTACACTTAGTCAGCAAAAAGAAAGCAAGAAGTGAAATTCGTTTTTAGCAAATGTGAAAACATGCACAACATATACTGCCCCAGGGGGGATTTAGGGGGGGGGGGGGTTCCTGAAACACCGGAAAT